GGGGTGTTGGGTTGGGGGCGCATCTGTGGGGCCAGATTTCAGCAGTGTTGGTACATTTGTGAAGGAATAAACTGAAAACAGGCTTTTGCAAGAGCCCGTTGGCGAAGGCAGGAGCGGTGCTCGTGGCGTACTGACTGACGGTCCGTTCGCCGCGCCTCGCTGAGCTGACAGCCCTGACAGCACTGGTCCCCTCATGGAGCGATGCCGATGGTGCCCCCCTGCATGCCATGAGATGTGCCGCTGCACGACGAGAGAGGCCGGCCGCACAAGCGCACCCGGTGGGCTGCACTGAGATGTAGTGGTGACTGCGTGGGGAGGAGCCGCAACCAGTGTGTCACCGAGAGAGGTGACTGTGGCGTGTGGTGGGCAGGAGCACCCATGTGTCAGCCGAGAGAGGGTGACTGGATGCGGGGAGGGGCACCCATGTGTCACCGAGGAGGGTGACTGTGCGGGAGGACACAGTGCCACAAGGGAGGGCGGCAGAGTGGTTTCAGCTCCAGGAGGTGGGGCAGCCCGTGCAGAGAGGTGCAGGGTCTCTTGTCTGGTGGACAGGAGCTGGCCCGCCTGTGAGTGGGTAGGGCCTCCTGCCAGGGAGCCTTGTGCATGGCTGGGAGGAGGGCGCAGCTGATGTGGACGCAGCCCCAACGTGAACAGGACCCCACGTGGATGGGTGATGTGCGTGTGGACCCCGCGTGGACATAGCCCTGACGTGAACAGGACCTCGTGTGGACAGGCGATGACGTGCACGTGGACCTGGCGTGGACGGGCGATGATGTGCGTGTGGACCTTGGCGTGGACGGGTGATGACGTGCGTGAGGACCCCGCATGGATGGGCGATGACGTGCCTGTGGACCTGGCGTGGATGCAGCCCCAACGTGAACAGGACCCCGCGTGGACGGGTGATGTCGTGCGTGTGGACCCGGCGTGGACAGGTGATGACGTGCGTGTGGACCCGGCGTGGATGGACAATGACGTGCGTGTGGACCCGGCATGGACGCAGCCCCGACGTGAATGGATGTGGTTCCGACGTGACCGCGCTGGCATGGGAAGCAGAGGGTGAGGCCCTGCTCTGCTGTCAGGAGGACGTGTCAGATTTCTGTCTCTAAGATGCTGCTCAGACTTGTCTAGAGGGTGAATTAGTGG